ATAGTGGGAAAAAACTGAGAAAAAGAAGGAGAGAAAAGAAGACGATAACGGGAATAAGAAGAATTCAACAGTGGCACCTTGAGACAGCAGTTTGAAGATTTGGCTAGCGATGAAATGTCAACTCAACTCCGGTAGATGCAGGCAGAACAAAACTAAATGCAGCGTACTTCTTTACGACACTTTAGCTGCTACAGGAGCCGAGACCAGTGAGAATAGGTCTTGAATAGGATAGGGATGGGTAGTAGGGTGGCATCATCAGCAATGGCACATAAGAGAAGTCATCACGCTGACAAAGAATTGAAGACCAATACTTGTAATGTGGAGGTATAGAATTTAAGGTCCAGTGCAAGTGAGCCCGCCAACGCGTGGGCTGTATTCAGTTGTCTGGCCATCAGCTCGATATATATATCCAAGCATTGGTGGTTCAGTGGTAGAATCCTCGCCTGCCACGCGGGGGGCCCGGGTTCGATTCCCGGCCAATGCATTTTCTTCTTCTTTTTTTTTGCTCGAACTGAAAAGAGCTTTTTTTGCTGATTGGCATCTGCGCAATTTTTTAAATCATATGCAGAAAAACATGTGTTGTGAGGACAGGGGATTATAACCAGCCATAGTGGGGAAATGCGCATGCGGCGATTGTGAATAGCAACTGAATAGAGTGGTTGTCAGTTGACAAACCCCCTTTTTTATAGTGAAGGAAAACTGAGAGAAAGAAGGAGAAAAAGAAGACGAAAAAGGGAATACGACGAATTCAACAGCGGCACCTGGAGACAGCGGTGTTATGATTAAGCTTGCCCGGAAACGTCCACTACGCTCAGGTAGACGCAGGCGGAACGGAACAAAAAATGCAGCGTGCATGTAGGTCACCCAAGACTTTCGCTGCTGCAGGAACCGAGACCAATGAGAATAGCTCTTGACTAGAACAGGGATGGGTAGGGTAGTAACGCCAAGGACAAGATAGCGGGGTTTTTTCATCCGATAATTATGTTCTTTCTTCTTTCTTTTTCCTTCTCTTGCCATGGCTGGCTAACGCCCCCTCCGGTGCATTGGCTTTTCCCATTGGACGGTGAAATAAAAAAAAATAAAAAGTATTTTAAAAGAGAAGTCATCAAGCTGACAGAGGACTGAACGCCAGTAACCTCTAGGTCGTGTTTAGTTCTCTGGCCACCAGCTCAACATTTCATCCAAGCATTGGTGGTTCAGTGGTAGAATCCTCGCCTGCCACGCGGGGGGCCCGGGTTCGATTCCCGGCCAATGCATTTTCCTTCTTCTTTTTTATTTATTTTTTGCTCAAATTGCAAAGAATGGCGTTGCATATTAAATTATAATAGAATCTGTATTATCCACGTTATACGAGATGTGTATGCATCTGGAGCTAGAGCTATGCTGTAGAATTCTGCAGATAAGCCCATGCTCTTATCTGATTCGAAAGGACTCTTGATAGTATTGGAGAGGCCCTTGACGTCCTGGAAGTCGTATAAATGCAGCTGGACATACACATATATTCACTGGTTTGAGGGAAAGACACAAAACGGGAAAAATCTGAAGAAAGAAAAAGTGACTGTCACCGCCAGGTTATCACATCCTTTTTTTATTTATAAAGCACGAAGAAGTGTAAAAACAACAGAAAAATGATAAGGCACCCATTTTGATAATCCAGGGGATGGCCCACGCCTGGTACTGCCACTGCATTATAAATCATACGTAATGACTGATAAAATGCTACACCTGTGAAGTGAAAGAAAAAGGCCCAACCCTAGTACACATATGCAAATACAGTGATGTATCGGAACTGATCTACTGTGGTCTACAGTCCGTTTCAAAAAGATTTACAATCCTGGCGATCGCCCGCGGAGTTTGGCGTCTTACCGTATGAGCACTCGAGCGCTGCCTGGAAAAACTCACTGTGAACTCGAAGAAATATTCCGCGCGAAAGCAGGAAAAATGACAACTCACTCACGTTGACACAGTCATGTACGTCTGGTTTACAACAAACGAGTTCTTCCTCGTATCGATAATGGAGTCAGAAGCAGGGAGTCGTAAAATACCTTTACGACTCCCTGGTATTTTACGACTCCCTGGTCAGAGAGGACATGTCGAAACGAAAGTGTTGTAAATGTTGACGAGCTGCATGGTTCCGTTTTGTGACCAAAACAGTTTCTTTGAGCTGCGATGCAATTATGTACTCACCAAATACTTTGACGACTCCCTGGTACTCACCGTGTGACGAAAACGACATCGACACGGACTCATTCCCAAGGCCATGACTTGGCAAAGCTATCCGTGTGACTTCGACGACATTTTGAGACAAGCAGACGCTTGTGAACGCTGATAGAAGACGGCGTTGACTGCTAAATTCAAATAAATTGGCGATCTTGAAATACTAAAATAAATCTCAAGAAGCTACAGCGCGATGACTTCCATTATAATTCACTCACACCACTGCAGTGTTGTGGGTGTGTTCACATGGCGTGAGCCAGTCAAGTGTCAGTCAGTTCGGCAGGAAGCGCGAGCTCCAACAAGTCGTTTGGTGCAGCCATCTTCTTTGTCTTGTACCAGCTTGATCACCAAAACAATGAAAAAAAAGTTTGATTTGAGGATAGGTTGGGATTTGAACTCACAACTTCATGGTCAGCAGACAGCATTCATAACCACAAGGCCAAAAAGGAAAGGATAAATCGTGGGTTTTGATAAAAAATCGATACTGGCTTCCTGGGCAAATTGTAAACCATGGGAAAAGGCCGGAAACCTGGCCGAAATTCTAACTCCTTAACGGTTGGTCCAATTGTTCCGAAACCTTCACAGAACAATTTGCCGTGTCCTAACGAGCCATTCTAAGTACTTTGTTGTCCAAATTTCCCTTATCTTCATACTTTTTAAGACCCAAACCTGATTGTAAATCTTTTTGAAACAGACTATAGGGCGCCAGTTTTGCACTTTGGGTCAGATTTCACCGAGCGCTTGTGAAAAGAAAATATTTGAGCAAAAAAAAGGAATGCATTGGCCGGGAATCGAACCCGGGCCCCCCGCGTGGCAGGCGAGGATTCTACCACTGAACCACCAATGCTTAGATATACATTGAGCTGGTGGCCAGACAACTGAACAGGTCTTGAGTGTCCATTGCACTCAGCAGAAATAGTTGGATTTTTTTATCACATTCCACATACATGTACCTACGGAAGAAGGGGAAGAAACAAAGACAAAACAAAAAACAACAATGGGTGTGTAGGCGATACATGAATAGAATGGCCTCACATCTTTGTCATGTGACTAAGTTTGTGTAGGAGGCGTACATGGCATGTGGACAATGGAACAAACATGGCCGACATCACTATGACTCATTAACGGAGAGCTTGACTGTAGGCTACCCCTGTTCAAGTTCTCTTTCCCTCATACTTCCATTTATCTGGTGCGTCCAGAGCGTGACGATGTCGAGACCAGTTGGTCGACGGAGCGCCTGGCCCCCACCACCATGGCTGCTGCATGTTCCCATTGCGTGCACCACATGGCTTTTAGCTTAAAAAAAAAGGTGGAATCAACATTGCAACAGGCAAATGTTGCCCATAAATGCGGGGGTTGTCTGGAGTTGAACCCAACATGGCAGACATCATGTGACCCATAGACGCAGAGCTTGACAGGTGACATCAAGAGTATACAACCCCCCAAGAGTGTACAACTCCTGATACCCTTTCTATGGAGTACTGAGAACACCGACGGCGAAAACTCACAACTCGTTGTTCAGTGTCGCAGTTGTACGTTTCCAGCCCGTTTTTTAGCGAGCAGCGGAGTAATAAAAAAATCACTCTCTGACAGAAACTCACTGCACGTATGCAAATCCCCGGCATGATCATGGCAGATATTCGGATTGCGCGCACACTATCCTTCGTTTGTACTTAGTACGAAACGTACCTGAGACACGTGATGTGAGTTTTCGCCGTCGGAGACCCCATATGCAGAGCTACACACTCTTGGGGAGATATATACTCTTGGTGACATCATGCGACTCGTTGGTGCAGGAGTTGACTGGAGTTAGACGTTACCCGTATGACAGTCATGTGCCAGCTTCAGCAGGTCTATTCACGGCTCAATGCTAGAGCTAGGCTGTGTGGGCTACGGTGTTTGCGGCTGTTTCGAAATATTATCGAGGAGAAGTGGGAGTGAGGGCAACATAACTGTGTTTCACTACTTCATGCGTCGACCGTTGGCCAAGGAAGTGAATCGCCCTGGCCCTGGTAACTTGGAGATGGAGTCTAGCAAGAGGGGACAGGTGCGTCGTAAATACATGAAATTCAAAAAGAAAATTCAGCTTGAGCGTGTCCGAATTTCCCGTCACGAAACCCTCCTTTCATGCATGTGGCATGTGCGACAGCATGCTGCCTGGCTCGTATTCAGGTGAGCAGCCAGCAGTTCAACACACATCCAAAGCATTGGTGGTTCAGTGGTAGAATCCTCGCCTGCCACGCGGGGGGCCCGGGTTCGATTCCCGGCCAATGCATTTTCTTTGCTCGTGTTTAATAGGAAATGGCTCTGTGTCGTCCTTCCTGGTCATGTCCAAAACTGCTTTTATAAATGTCTCCATTCTTTTGCTTGCTTTTTCTTTTTCCTTTTTTTGTTTCAAAATAGTTAGAGCCTGAGTGATCAACACAACTACATGCCCCTGTAGATGGCTCCAAAAGCATTTTTTCAATTTATTTCCCTTGCATATTGACTTTATAGTTCCTTTCAATTGTAATACGGAAATACAGTACACATTGACAAAGAGCATGAAAAGAGCTTCATTTTGATAGGCATGTCATACGATACAAAATACGGGTTCACATACATTCGAATGGGATTTCGAGTATGAGCTATAAGGACACTTCGCGAATAAGGACACTTCGCGAATAAGGACACTTTTCCGATGCCCCGCCCAGTGTCGTTATTCACAAAGTTGACTGTATCTATCACACTATTCTATCTAACACCTTGCCTCTCCTTGGAATGTTCACCCCTCACCGCTTCAGGTGCGCAACAACTTCCAAGACATGCAGTGCAGATTGAACGAGGTGGAGTCCGTTCTGCTTCAAGAGCTCTGCGCCATCAACATCAAGGAGCGGCAGACGTTGAGTCGCCGCAACCGCTTCCGCATGTGCGAATACGTCAAGAACAAGTTCTGTGTAAGTGGATGTACAGTAAAACCTGTCAAGGCAACCACTCGGAAAAGGCGACCACCTGTCCCAATAGACCACTGCAACCAGAACTAAGGGAGTTATTTGCAGTCAAATGACCCTGGATAAGGTGACCACCTGCCCCAGAGGACCACTGTAATCAGGACCAGGGGATGCTATTTGCAGTCAAATGACCCTGGATAAGGAGACCACCTGGTGACAGAGACCACATTTTAAAGGTCCCTTGAGCGGTCGTCTTAGACAGGTTCCAC